TGCAAATGCTCATTTTGAGTTTCATAAGGGTGCTCTAGGTCACACCATTGAGAACTGCAGGGCATTTAAACACAAAGTTCAAGACATGATTGACAGGGATGCTATCAACCTCAATGGGAAGTCTCCAAACGTCATCAACAATCCTATGTCATCGGCCAGCTAGCGTCAGCATCAAGTCAAATCAAATCTATTCAAGTCAAGTTCATCTCCCCAAAGATGGCAGTCATATTGCCATTTCGTTATTTCCATTCTTGTATTTTGTCTTTGTTCGTTTAAGTACTGTACGCTTTGAACATTGCCATTCATATTTGGTTGTATTAATGTATTGTTTATGCATGTTTTGAATCAGTTATGTCATATTCACTCATTATTTTCACAATCACCGACACATATTTTGTTCGCTTCACTCTTTATAAACTGTTGTTTAGCATGATTGGAGGGAGGATAATGACAACGAAATACTCATAATTGCAAAATGTATGCTTTCAGACAGAATCTCGTCGATGATGTACATGCATTGTTTCAATTCCCCAAACACTGGAGATACAAGGAGTTAATCCCTAGTAAACCACTTCGATCCTAGAAGTAGTAGTTTCCTTCAGACATTCAAACCCTTACACTCAACCTGGGGCAGGGTAGTGTTCAGTTAATCTAAATCCACACTCAAATCAAAAGAATCAAAACTCAAAAGACGGTTGTTCATCAACAAACCACGACATGGAAGTCACAATTCTCAACAAAAAAAAATCAAAATCCTGCTAAGTCAAGTACATCAAAAGAGACTTAGGCAAAAATCAAGGCAATCTCGATGGATTTGACAAGCAAAATCAGTCCATGCAAAATTTAGGGATCAAAAATCAAAAACAAAAGAGGTCCCAAAACCCTCAAATAAAAATAAAATAAGATTCAGTGACCACTGAATCAAATCAAAAGGGTCACTGACATCCATCAAAATCAAAAAAAGGTTGTTATCATTTCGAGCATACCTTGAACCTTCAAGTTTATACCGTCAAGATAAGCATGTGCATAATTAACTGAACGTAGGACTAAAGATCATCAAGAAGAAGGGATGGGTACAAATCACACTTTGAGCCTAATATCCTTTGTTTCCTGAACCGCAAACCAGACCACGTTACAACTCTCAAAAGACCTAATTAAGGCGAGGTTTATTCTGAAAGCATACTATTGCAAGGTTGCGTAAACTGACTCCTCACATATATGCTAATCATCAGCATTATTGTCATTATCTTTGTTGTATCTTAACACCAATCAAATTAACACAACGTCTGGACTAACGATCCATTCGTCTCACACTATCATGATAATGACACTTTTTCAAAACTTGCATCGAGCTTTGCATTAATATTACCATTTGTGGATATACAATTTTAATTGCAAATTAGTGCTAGACAGCAAAGCCTCTCCAACAAGGGGACAATAAAGGAGGAACTTGACTTCCAGTAGCTGACACGAAGCGAAGCTACCTCAAAACCCACAGGCTAGGGCAAGTCTTTCAACAGCTCGATTAGGGGCAAGTCAATTCAGAGCATCAAAGTTCGGCTTCAACTTCAGAACTGGTTAATCAGGGGCAGACCATCACCATGTTCAGACTGGGGCAAGTCCAGGTCGTCTGAACCATCAAGCAGAGTTACAATCTTCTTTGAAGCAAATTCACAACAAACCACCAAGTACCCAGGCTTGGGGCATCAAGAACATCTTCGTCTGCTTTGATTATGGAACTTTCAGCAAATAATGTGTCAAGGAAGTCAATCCCTCCCACCACCCAAAGTCCAATTCGCATTGGCAACTACCAAAAGTCCACCACGTTGGCACCTCCCTCCACCTGCACATCCAGTCACTCGTCTGCAATCATGTGCATCATGCACATCGTATTCGTTATCATAAGCATCTTACATCATATGCATGCAAAGCCTTATCATACCTCCCCAGCACTTCCATCTCTGTGCGCCAACATTTGCATTTGCATTTCCATTCGCTATGGAACATCATTATCATCAAGTATTCACATATGCAAGTCAAGGTCCAAGATCAATATCGAGATTTCCAAGACCGTCTTCAACCCAGTCAGGGGCATTTTTCTTCAAGATCGTGGGCGTTCCCCACGAAGTTGTTTCAATCCTAGGGTTGATCAGTTTTCAAGATGATATTCAGCCCAGTCAAGGGCATCTTCTTCAAGACCGTGGGCGTTCCCCACGAAGTTGTTCAACCTTTTGTTGGGAAAATTCAAGAGTTTCAAAGTGACGTTCAGCCCAGTCAGGGGCATCTCCTTCGAAGCCGTGAGCGTTCCTCACAAAGTTGTTCAACCTTTCATTGACCAAGATCAAGAGTTTTAAAGGAAAACTTAGCTCAGTCAAGAGCATCTTCTCCAAAGTTCATGGGTGTTCCTCATGAAATTATTTCAACCTTTTATGGTCAATATTATGGTCTCCGAGCAAGTCAGTGGGCGTTCCTCATTGAGTTGTGCTCTCGACCTTTTGGTGTTGAAGTTGGCGTCCCCATCTCAACCAGTGGAATTTCTCCGAGTCAGTGGGCGTTCCCCACTGGTTTGTTTCAATTCAACCTTATTCTTGGGCGTTCTCCAGTGAGTTGGTTCCTTTCAACCTTACTTTTGGGCGTTCTCCAATGAGCTGGTTCCTTTCAACCTTTTGTTGACAAGGACGGTGTTCATCAGTGACTTCTTTGCTTCAACCTTTTGTTGATGTCCTCAAATAAGCCTCACTTAACATATCTCCAACAAACTTGACCTTTTGTCAATTGTCTTACTATCATCCTTTTGGTGATGGGTCTGTCATCCTTTTGGTGGCAAATTATGTGAGTGTTTCTCTACCATCCTTTTGGTGGTAGTGGCCGGTGTGTGTGTGTGTCGCTCTATCATCCTTTTGGTCATGGGTATGGTATCCTTTTGGTGCCAGATTGTGTGAGTGTTGCTCTACCATCCTTTTGGTGGTCGTAGCCTGTGTGTGTCTCGCTTTATCATCCTTTTGGTGATAACAACCTTTGCAGCTACTCAGTGTCTACTTGAGAGTTGACATTGATCTGTTATTTCTCTATCCAAACACTTTCTTTCTTTTCGGACAAATTCAGGGTTTTCTTCGTATCTAATTATCTTCTACCTTGAAAGAATGAACGTTGTAGCAGTTCATCTTACTCGGTCTAAGCCAATTAGATAGGGGCATCTGTCATACCTCAAATTTGTCCTACCCGTGTATAGCTTTCATTATGTACATTTACCCCCAGTTGTTATTTAGAAAATAAAAAAAATGTGGTGCAGGGTTGAATCCAAGTTACTGCAAGGATGAGTCGAGATTCATTGGAGGTTTACCAAGTCAGTAGGAATCAATCCAAGTGGTGTTTCTTTGAGGTTACAGTTAGGATGTGTGTGTTGGGCTAGATTTGTTAGGGATGAATCAAGTCATCATATTATATCAAAGTAGGCGCTTCGTGATTAAGAACCGTCAAAGTTCAATCAAGGTTTTGTGTTTCAAAGTGAAGTTTTTTATTTGGTTCATTCACCTTCAAAATGGCATTTGGCGTAAACTGCGCAAGCTTTGAATGGATGCGGATAAGTTCACAATAGTTACAAGTTCAGATGAACGCATGATAGTTCAAGGTACCGATTCATTCAAAGCGCAAGGTTGATTTATAGATATTCTTATTTCTCAAGGGTGGATGCTAAATTTTATTTGGTTCTAATTGAGAATTCTAGTCCAAAAATTGCAAATTTCATTAATCATCATCATTTGAGATTTAAGAATTACAAGATGGCCAGGAGTGGTTTCGAAGATTGTTCATACAAAGGGTTCAATCGCTGTGTTTTCAAGTCAAAGTCCAACATAAAATGGGAGGTGCAAGTATATTTTTATAAGCTCATTACAAGGAAGAATCTCTAAGCTCATTGTTTTCACTACAAGTCCATTACATCCCGAATTCTACAAAGCTCGTCATTTTTCTTTCTTTCAATATATACACACACAAAGTTTTTTAGAAGCCCATCAACCCTTGTTGAGCCCACCACAATGATTCAACAAAAACCATCCACCATTTACAAAAAAACTCCACAAAAATAATAGAGCCCACTTACCTATCTTTTTTTAAGAAAAAAGTGAAATACAATGGCCCATGGAAGTATACCATATAAATCTCAGCACATGAAAATATCCTTGTTCCAATAGGTCGTAATTCCCAACTTCATACGCACAACAGCCACAAAATCTTACTTCAATATCCTGCACATACTTTTTTCATATATCTCCTTGCCAAACATTCTACGTGGTCAATCCAAAACGAACATAATCCATCCATCAATCTTGCCAAGTCATGTTTTTCTTCCAGAACCTGCATAATAAAAAAAGAAAAATGCATCACAACAACAGTCTATGGCATGTGCATAAGACAAAACCGTTACGACCCACAAGAATCTCGAAGCATGAGATAAAAGAAACCGGAATGCACATGGCTTGTGGCTGAAACACAACAGCTTGTAAGACACAGCAAACTCACAAACCACAACCAAAACGAGAAAACGATGAGTAAGGGAGGGTACGTAGCAGTAAAGAAATTCACGAGCGGTAAAAAACAGAATTCTTCAGTAAAGAGTTTTAATTCACCTGGCTCAAAGGAAATCCCACCAAACACGCACCTGCAAACGAGATATCGCAACAAAATGGAAAAACAAACAAATCAAAAGAGCTGCAATACGACAATGGAGAATCGTACAACCACGTGACAACACCCACGTCGCGAATCTGAAAACGAAAACAAGAGAAACGAACCTTAAATGAAATTCCTTAAACAACCTTCCCCTCTCTTATAAATAACAGACTCCTCTCGCTGGAAAAGAGGAGAGGGGGGTCTTCAAAAGAAAGAAAAGCCAATAAAAATTGCCTCGAAACCCTTCGTTCTTCACCTCTTCCTTCCTCCATCGATTCTCAACCCGGCAAACATAACAACCCGCCCCAACTTCTTTCGTCATCCAACCTTCAACACCCAAAACCTGAAATCACATAAATCCCAAAATCATACAAAACCAGAAACAAAATCAAAACCAGAACAGAATGAGATGAAGAGAGAATTTAAGATCCAGAACCAAACCTGAGCAAAATTGTGAGTGAGTGGTACAATTTAAGACGGAAATTGTTGAAACGGAAGCTGGCGAAAGGTTGAAATTGAACTTTGTCGATTCCTCTACAATTGCATTTTCACGGCCCTGTTTCATTTTCCATCAAGCTTTTATTGTTGTTCATAGCCTTTGACCGTGTTCTTTGTGTGAAAATTTGCTTTTTTTTCCTCTAATCACTAAAGCCTTTATGATGTCTTGGGCCTAGAAGCCTATGCTCATGTTGGTTTTGTTTTCAGCATACACGGGTCATATCTCTTCTATATGGGCCTCCCTTGTTTGACCGCCTTCCCTTTTCTTTTAAGAGTGATGGGCTTTCAAGAAGCCCAGATGATCCCTTTTTTTTTTTTTTTTTTTCTCTGTTATACATCTGTTTTTTGTATACCCCAACCTTTGTTTTTACTTATTTTATTTTGAAAGAGCTATTGTTGTTAAAGATTTTGTTGGATATTTATTTGTTGAGTTCTTTTTATTTAGGCTTCTATTTTATTTCTTGTCGAAATTTTCATTTTTATTAGGATTATGGTTCTTTAATTTTATGTTGATTTTCATTTCAATTTCTTTTTGGTAATGACGAGACTTCTAAAAATCATTAGTAGTCAAACTGTTGATAAGTAACAATAAATCCGAGACCAACTTTCTTTTACTATCCTCATTTTCAATTCCATCTCGATTTTATTTTATTTTTATCGGTCAATGAAGTCTTTACGTTCGTAAACGTCGACTTATCGAAGTCGGTAACCTTCATAATTTCAAATCTGTAGAAAATGATCATTTGGATCATTTTTCTATACTTTGGAATTGTGAGAGGTTACCTTCGATTAATCGACACGAGTTTATGATTAAGACGAGATCCCACTCTTTTTGGTCCGTGCGACACGATTAAATTGGAGAATGATCCTCAATATCATTTCTCTATCTTGTTTTTAGCACAAATATCAATTTACGCGACCTCCTATAGTCCGACTTTTGTCATAAGTCGAGCTACGACTATTTAGCATTACATTTCGTCTCGATTCAATTCATAGATCGACTAACCACTAACTTTACTTTCTGTCAATATACAACTGCTTTATTTTCAGTCAATATTATCTTGATTATATTATCTTGATTATATTATCTTGTTCATATACTTGTTAATATTTATCTTGATATATTATTGTGAATATTATCTTGTTTATATTGTTATATATCTTGTATACTATTCATATCTTGTTCATGTTCATATCATATTCATTTGTTCATCTTATTCGCATTCAAAACACCTAACAACTATCGAAACCATAAAATCCTAAATTGGTGGATTGTTGGTTGTTTGTCTGAGTGACGGATCATTGGACTTTGTCAGAAAACCTAGCTTGGAATTTTGTCCGACTTTTGTTCAAGGATTAGTGTAGGGCTTCCTCTTGGGCTACCTGACAATGAGACCTTTTATTTCGTGCAATCCCGTGTAATTTACATGTATCCTTCTCCCATTTCCGATGTACGCTTTCGTATTTCTTTGGTTGTGGTTTATCTTCTAGGAGCACCCACAGGGACTAGCATATATTAAACCGTTTTCAAACTAATTCTTAATTTATTATCGAGCCATTTTCAAACACCCCTTCGTAAGTCGAGTGCTCATCCGCATTCGCCATCAACCTATCGCACACATTGTCACATTTTATTGTGGTTTCGATATTGGGAGCATCCCAGGGACTAGTATTGTTTCTCACACCTTAACCCTTTATTTATTGTCAAGCCGGTTCCATTTTCAACCAAACCCTCGACTCGTCGTCGAGCCACTTTCAAACCACTTCCATTCCACCACGGTTTTGCACGCAAATATAAGTCAAACCCTTGATCCAACGTCAAGCGGATTTTCTCAACAAACTATTAAACCAATTAACAATTATTTATTTCTTTTCAGAATAAAAAGAGGGAGAGCCAAGTCTTTGACTCTTTCTCCCGACTACTTGGACCCGAGGAGCCTTTCTTAAGCTTCAAGTAATTGTCATCCGAAACCAATTCACCACCTTTTCTTTTTTATAACTTTTCTCTATTTCTTTTGTCTTTGTGAGCCTAAAAAACCTTGGCTTATACCGAGTGCATTTTGAAAACTCTTTTCCTAATAAACTTGGATGGTTGTGGAGTGGTTAGGCGAAGGCCTTGTCCTATCCCGAGTGTTTGGCATTACCTTTAGGGTTCACTGTCGTAAAGCACTTACCGTTCGAGATCAAAACATTTTTAATAAGATAATGAAGTTCTCTTTGTATTGAATTAAAAAGAAGGGATTGAGTGAAGACTTCTTCCTCTCCGAGTATTAGGATACTCACTTTAGAGTGCGTGGTCTCGATACTCGTCTTTCAGTATGAAGACGTGAATATATTCGCCACACCATTTTCATAATAAATCTTTTGAGATAAAGAATTGGGTACTATCCGCAATGGGTTACTATCCGAGGATCTATTTCACCCTTAAAAATAACTTTCATAAATCAAATGTGACATCTTGCTCGATGGCGAAAACTATATCTTTTCAAAAAGGATATGTTACGTCCGTTCTATCCTAAATAGGTAATGCCTAAGACTCCACAAGCGAGCTGCAATACACCTAATTGCTAGAATGCGTACGGTAGCATCGTCCATAAAAGTACCAGTTAACTGTAGGCCAAACTATGCCTGTTCTGGTTCTTCACTTCTTTTAGGTGAAGATACATAGGCACAAGGGGCCCAATCCTTGTCGAGCACTCTTCCCGTCTTTTATTCGTAGTTCTCTGAACTACGTTGACTCTTACTTTCTCACACCTATCGAGAATACGTAGGCATATGACTGCGAGGTCCTACCGAGTCTCTTTTCCCTATTTCCAACCTTTCTCTCTCCCCTTAGAACATTCTTAGAAAGCAATACCCTTCAGCAAATACCTTCACGCATAGACAAGAAAATGGTTCCCATCGAGTACGATGGATGTGAGAGGTGCTAATACCTCCCCTTCGTATAACCGGCTTCCGAACCATTTCTCTTGGTTGCGAGACCATCTTATCCGTTTCTTTCTTGAGGTTTTCTCGATGTTTTCCTTTCCCCTTTTGGGATAAATAAAGTTCGATGGCGACTCTTCTGTTCTTCCGTTTTCGCCTCTCCTTCGTTGCATTTTCAAGTAGCGATACCCACCACCTTTTTCAATTCAATTCATACTTGTTTATATACTTGTTCATATTTCTGTATATATATGCTTGTACATATCTTGTTAAGTTTCTCTTAGCATCTGAATTGTCCTTAGTTTAGACTAGTTCAAACAATAGGATCTTTGTCAATCAGTATAACTTAGTTCAAACAACTAGTTCCCCCCTGTACAAAGGAACTCTTATTCCCAATACAGTCAGCCTCCTCTTGGGCTTTGTTCAATTGATTCAACCTTGAAAAACTTCAATAAAGAGAGGATTATTTCCGGATGGAACCTCTTATTTAACCCCTTTAATCTTGGAACAATTAACCAAAGAAAGGATTATTTCCCGATGAAACCTTTCTTAAACTCAACTTAAGACTTGGTTAGTACAAGGACACTCAGGCTTCCTAAAAGCACATGATAGACCCTAGTCATCCCTACACCAATTCTCAGGAGAGTCAAAACCTCTAAAACATTCAAACTCATCCTTTGAGTCTCCTCTGATCCTTAACAAGGCTTGACTTCCACCTTAAATCCCCAGAAAGGGTCAGGTTACAATCAATAAATCCCCAAAAGAATCAAAGCCTTTATGGAAATTCAATAAATCCAACACTCCTCAAATTTCCAGCAGGAGTCAATTTCTCTTTTGATTCCTCAGAGCAGTTGGATCCTGCTCTTGGATTCAATTTTCCTCAGCAAGAGTCAGTCTCCACTTAAATTCCCTCAACCTCCTATTAGGCTTCATATAAGGATTTTCCCTAATCAGCCTCAACCTTGGGCTTTGTACAAGACAGATATAATACTTCCCTAGTTAAGTTAGTTTTCAATCCCTTTTTTAGCTTCAACATTGGGCTTTGATCAAGGCATAAAATTCAACATCCCCATAGATGAGACTCTGAGTCCCCTCTGTAGGAGGACATTTCCTCTATACATCACATTTAAAAACAAACAAGTAAACCCTTTTCAGATAATTGATGTAAGTGGCACACTTGTTGGTTCAAAATCCAAGCTAGAGTCCTTCCTTTATCATGGCCAAAGTTCTCTTTCATCTAAGTGATGTAAGTGGCAAGCCTCTGGAACATATCCAAGCCAATGTCCCTCTCTTAGCATGCAAAGATTCATAAAGGAACAATTGGCATTGCTCTACACTGAGTTAAAGCTTCTTCCTTCATGACATTTCAATTCTCTTATAAAGGAAGATGTGGCATTATTGGATTACACATATCCCAGTTAAAGCAACTTCCTTATAATCAAAACCTCAATAATTATGATGAATAGATGAGATATCTCCCTTTAGATATGACAAATTCTCTCTCAAATACTCCTTTACCTTCGATCTTGGGCTTTGAACAAGACACAAAAACTCCTTTAGCTTCAATCTTGGGCTTTGAACAAGAAATAAAAACTCCTTTAGCTTCAATCTTGGGCTTTGAACAAGAAATAAAAACTCCTTTAGCTTCAATCTTGGGCTTTGAACAAGACACAAATACTCTTTTAGCTTAAATCTTGGGCTTTGAATAAGATACAAACTTCTCTTTTAGCTTTAATCTTGGGCTTTGAACAAGAAACCAAACATTTTCCTCCCATGCAATAGGAAGAACTATGAACGCTCTAATTTCTCAGTTTCCTTTTTTGAGAATACATAGGCATAAGATTGTGAAATCTTAGCGAGCGGACTAATCAAAAACCTTAGGTTCAAATACATTTCTAAAAACAATAGAAAATCCTAAAACAAAAAAGTGTTTCCTCAACGTCCCAAAGGAGAAACTTTTCCCACATGATAGAAAATAAACTCAAGAAAGCAATTTAAACAGTAAAAACAGATGTAAATGAAGGTTCCTATAGATTATTATAGATACTCTGAATGTTAATAGCTTCTCTTTGTATAACTAACCCCCGATTCTAGATCTCTCCGCATTTGTAGGGAAAACACTTGAGCGCAGGGTTAGTTTAA